AGTTATTTCTTCAAGTGAACAAACTTCAGATCAGGCATGCCATTTTAGGGTGATTTAAGCCTTGTGAGCACACTTAGCCATTTAGATTGCCCCAAGCATGGTTAGGGCAATCTGAATGTAATGCTTCTGCTTAGCCTTAGTCATTAGAAAAGCTGAGAAACACTTTGAGGAAAGGTGAAATGGAAGTTTGAAATCCTCTTATAATTTTCACTTGTGTGCACCTTCTCAAACATACCACAATCTCACATCTAAATCCAGGGGTTTGTGCGTTTGAAACCACCAGCCTTAAAAACGGAAGTTGTTGACTTTCAGGAGTGTTTACCCCTCCCCCCACCAAATTAATGTACTATCAGACAACATAGAACAACAGTACAAAGTGAAGTGGCATAATTACAGTAATGAAGGGAGGGGGCATGAGGTCAGGAGAATAAAGTAGGAGGCTCCAAACCTGGTATTATACCAAACATAGGGCTTACTCCAGTGAATAGTCTAGTTCACTTCAGTAGGGTTACTTGTGGTTATGAGCATTACATTTAATGCAAATACTTGAGGATCATGTCTGTTTGAGTTGCCCTCTAAATAACAAACCTGGGGTGAACTTGATACCAATTTTCTTGATGTATTTTTATTAATACATTTCCACCAACTACCATATTTCATTAACATCAGTTGCACAGGACAGTACAGGGATAGGGCATACAAACATGTCAGTTTTAGAATCAAATGACTTTTGCTCCAAGTTATGGTGATGCTTTGCCAGGCAAGATACTTCAGTTATTAGACTTCCAGAGAGAAAGATTTTGATCTGTATTACTTGACACTTCGACGTCAATTAAATAGCTATTGCAACTGATGAAGATCTTCAGTTTTTAGAAGACATAACTAAGGCTATCGATTCATATTGAAGTAAGGGTCACAAGCTTTGAAAAGTGGCACAATAGGTTTTTGTTTACTGTAAATATTAAGTACATCATGCCTGACTAACTTATTTTTGTGACCAACATATAAAAGTGCATGTTCTTTAAAATCGTCTAAGGGGGGCATTGTCCAGGCCAGTAAACCAATAATTAAAACTGAAGATGTTGGTTTCTAGAGAGTTATGATCCCTATGCTAGTCTTCTGAGCCACTCAGGTAGTGAAAGCAGTAAGGGCCCGATTCCACCCCACTCAAGGACCTGATAACTGTTAATGCAGAAGGTGGGTGGGTGTCCCTTTTCCTTGCTTTATTTTACTTATTTATTGTTGATTCAATGTTAAGGGTAAGATTATGGTGTGTTACTAAAGGAGATGCATTAATAGACTTCGGGTACTTGGGCTTGGGCTATCATTATGTCCTTATTGTGTCCATTATGTGTGCATAAGCAACATGTTGCCCTTTATAGATTCAGGACATGGAGTTTCTTTTAAATGGGGAAATGTCAAAAAAGGCTAGGGCCTATAGACCTTCAATAACACTTAAGCTTCAAAGTACAAAAATCGGGTTAAAAACGAGAATTAATCCCCACTGACACTTATTCATAACTAGGCCAAAATGCCTAAATCCTTTAAAAAAGCAGAAAATCCTACAATTAGGAATAGCCCATCAAATAAGTAAAATAAATATGGAAACTGTATCTGGTATACTGTAATCCTTTTTATTTTATTCTTTGTACCAGTTTGGGCACTGAAAATAGATTAGTTACTTTCACTTGAATAATCTCATTCACTTGCTCTCAAGGCTGTAATACATAGTTTATAAACTTTGTGAACTAGAAGATAGATAGACCAGTTTTATGTTTTTTTCCTGGTATCATGGGAAAAAATGGAATGACTTTAAGTTTTGTGCTGCCCCTCTTAGATAAACTCTCATTTAATTACACATACATTTAGCCTGCAAGATGCTAAGCTGATGCCCCCAGGCTTCCACCCAGCCCTAGCTCCCTGCCATTGCTGGCTGCAACTCTTCCACCCTTCTCTGACTTCCTTTTCCTGCCCCAGGGTCACAACAGGTAGCATGGCATGGGGAGCTGAAGTGAAGCCAGGGCTGTGCGGGCATGCAGAACAGCAGTGGGTGGCAGGGAGTACTGGTGTGTGGGCATGCAGAGGAGTGGGGGAGAAGAGCATCCATGTGGGCATGCAGGGCAGAAAGGGAGGCATCCACACAGGTGGGGCACGCTGTCCCCCCAAGTTGCTTAGAAGTTGGACATCCCTAGTTCAAATATTTGTTTGCATGCGCAGGGTCTTGTCACACTGAATATGTTGAAATAATGCATGTAAAAAGTAAATGGTTGTTACGCAGTGTACTATGAATCCTGTAATATGAAGCAGCTCATATTTTGCTATCGTGTAAAGACCATCAGACTTTATAGCTTGCTTAGTTTCAAGTCAGCCAATTCATCTTTTCATTTTTCTCCTAAAAAGAGAATGTGTTAGAAGTGGTGGATGTTTAAATGTGAGGCATAGTTTAGAGAAAAGAAAACGTGCATCAAACATTCTGGTGGTGATTCTTTTCTGCCTTGTCCCTGGTGTAGTCATTTACATCTGTAGAAAGTGAATGAAAGCACCGCCACCAAATGAGTGGAAGGCAGGTGTGGATAAGCTCTTCCAGGGCAGCAAGGATGTTTTGGATTTATTTGGACTGGTTTAGGTAGACCCCTGTGGACATATCACTTTAAAATGAAATACATTGGTTTATCTTGACTGGCTGGGCAGCAACTAGGCTGAAAAGGACCTGGGGGTTACAGTGGACAATCAGTTAATATGAGCCAGCAGTGTGCCCTTGTTGCCAAGAAGGCTAATGGTATACTGGGCTGCATTGGTACGTGTGTTGACAGTAAGTCAAGGGAAGTGATTATTCCCCTCGATTCATCACTGGTGAGGCCACATCTGGAGTACTGTGTTCAGTTTTGTGCCCCCCCACTACAGAAAGGAGGTGGAGATATTGGAGAGAGTCTAGCAGAGGGCGACAACAATGGTGAGGGGGCTGGGGGACATGACTTATGAAGAGAGGCTGAGGGAACTGGGCTTATTTAGTCTAGAGAAGAAGAGATGGAGAAGGGATTTAATAGCAGCCTTCAAATACCTGAAGGGTAGTTTGAAAGAGGATGGAGCTAGACTGTTCTCGGTGGTGGCAGATGACAGAACAAGGAACAATGGTCTCAAATTGCAGCAAGGGTCATTTAGGTTAGATATTAGGGGAAATGTTCTCACAAGAAGGGTAGTAAAGCACTGGAAGAGGTTACCCAGAGAGGTGGTGGAAGCTTCACCCTTGGAATTTTTTAAGACCTGGCTTGACAAGGCTTTGGCTGGGATGATCTAGTTAGGGCTGGTTCTGCTTTGAGCAAGAAGTTGGTCATTAAATGACCTCCTGAGGTCCCTTCCAACCCTAATTTTCTATGATCTGACCCCCATGAACTTACAGGGGCAAACTGAACTGCAGTCAGTCAACATACTGAGTCAAACTGGTTAAAAATCCCACTTTCAGTTAAATTGAATGCAAACAAGACGTTTTGTGCTTATACCATGCTGAACACAAATGAAGCTAGGATTACTAGGCATTACAGTTCCTGTAAGTTATGAATGGAAAAATATAGCCCACTGGCCAAATCCAACCTGCCAAGGGACTCTATACAGTCTGCAGCGGGTCCCTCAGCCCTGCCTGGCCCAGGCACTGGGGGGCAGCCAGGGCCATGGCATGTGTGGCTGGTCCTGCCACCCCGGGATGCATAGCAGGGCAGCGCAGCAGCTGGTCTCCACTTCCCAGCAACCCCCACAGTGACAACTGCTTCCGGCTCCTGCCGCTACTGTCTCCACCATCACCAGACCTGGCCCCACTGACTGGGCAACTCAGCCCATCCACCCCACACCCACTGTCAGGGGTGCTAGATGGAGTGGGCAGGGTCTCCGTGGAGACTGGCTAGGATCCCTGTGGGCAGGACACGCTCAGCCAGGCAGATAAGATGGGGCCAAGGGCTGGCAGGGAGCAGCATCTGGGAGCAGGACAGGCAGGCAGGGGCCAGGACCAGGTTTGCGAAGCAGTGATGGTGCAGGACTGGGACCACTCCCCAAGGAGTGGATCCTGACTGCCGTGGGCACCAGCCCTGCTCTGTCACCGCCCCAGAATCCACCCTGCCTGCCTGTCCCGCTGCCAGACTCTGCACCCCGGCCGCATCCCATCTGCCGTGGCTCAGTGTCACCAACAAATTTCACAGGGGTCTACAGGGGTCCCAACTAGTTTCCATACAGATTCTGCCTGCCTTCTCTGTAAGGCACCCCTGATAGTGGACGTGGAGTGGATAGACCTGGGTGGGATAGCTCAATTGCTGCTCCCCCTCCTCCCCTCCCCCCCACCACATCAAACCAGGTCAGCATCCCATCCCCATTTCTCCCTCCCCTGGCCCACAGCAGCTCACTAAAATTGATAAATTGGCCTTCCAGCCAAAATAATTGCCCTCCCCTGCTTTAAGTTCATAAAAATAGATATAATTGAGCCATCGTGGCAGTCACAATAATGAATATGTAAAATATGAAATAATATACATCTATTTAAAAGAAACTTACACAATACTAAATCTTGTGGGAAGAGTAAACTTTACTTCATCACACTTGGTATCAAATAAAAGTGTGCATCAAACTCCTTGTACCAGTAGGCAGTATTAAGGTTTGTGCATTCAGCATTTACTGTGGCCATGCTCCAACAAAGTACCTAGAATGTACTTAATTGCATTGAATTAGTCTGTTCATATGCTTAAAGTTAAGTATGTACTTAAACCAGATATGAGATGTTTGCTTTTTAGTTTTTGAGGAACTAACCATACAGGTTTTAACATAGTTCCATACATTAGAATAGTAAATTGGTCCCTTTTCATTATATTTTACATTAGCATTCTTTGAGTTTTTTGACCTTTGTGGTCATATACACAGTTGACATCCTTATTAAAAAGGCTCTTGTTCAAGGTGGTCTTCTGTGCGTGTTCTGTGCCCAGTTTTCAAATCTATTTGATTTTTCCTGTTTTGTGCAGATCCAGTGTCCATCTTGCCAATTTGTCTGGTGTTTTAAGTGCCACTCTCCCTGGCATGAAGGCGTCAACTGTAAAGAATACAAAAAAGGGGACAAGCTGCTGCGTCACTGGGCCAGTGAGATTGAACATGGGCAAAGGAATGCCCAAAAATGTCCCAGATGCAAGGTAGGCAACCCTCTGGTGCCTCATACCAAAGTTTATGAGCTAATTATCCAAACTGAAGATTGTACTTTACAAATCTTTAATAGAATGTATGCTTAATATGGAGGTGCTGGACTGTGGTCCACAGATGAGATGGAATTGACTTCTGCCCCTAATAAAATTTTAAATAAGTTATTATGCACAAAGAATGTGTTTTCTATGATATTGTATGAATTGTTTATGGACTAAAGAATTCAGTGTCTTTTAGTGATAAATGTATTTTAGTAACAAAATATTCTCAGAGTTGGTCTTTGGAAATTTACCACTCAGTTCACTTGCATCTTATAATTAGGCCATACTAAAGCATTTTTAGGATTAATGGTCAGTTTTTCAAATACTTATTTTGCTAAGCCACTTCTTCAGCAGAGGCTGAAGAAAAATGTCCTACTACAGAGAATGCCATGAGCTGCCTTCTTCAATAATGGCCTCCATCCTCAAATGTTCTGATGGGACAAGGGCACAAGCTGTCCTTGAAGATGATCTCTTGCATTCACCTGTTTCTCACAGTGCTCCTTTCCAATTTCTAATATTATTGCAAGCCATGGCTTTTCCTGAAGATATTCTGGCTTTTTATAAACCAGTGGCTATTTTAGCTTCTTGCCTAGGCCTATTTTCTAATCATCAGTGAGCACAGGAAGAGAAAACAAAGGTTGGACATGACTAAATGTGCAGGAAAGAGGGAGGAAACCTGGTGCATATGTGTCTAACATGTAGAGCTTGGTAAGGAACAGATGCCAGAAGGAAATGAAGGATTAAAGGGTAGGTGCACATACAGAGATAGCAGAACTGGGAGGAAATTTGTAGTGCAAGCTCCAGCTGTTTTGTGGTGTCTTGTCAGTGTAAAGCAGCTATAAACCCAGCTGAACTGCCTTTCTGGACTAGCTGCTTTGTGTTATCACGTAGGGTAAAATAGGTAAAGTGTATACAGAGCTACAGAAGTTTAAACGTAACAAATTAATGTTTCATTCTTCAAATGATAAGAACAATCTCACTAGAATGCTTAGCACATATGATTAGAAATGCATGTAATTTTAAAAAAGGCAGCTCTCTCAAACTATATTTATGATGGAGTTAAGATTGAAAGTAAATTTCTTTTAAACAAAATACAATACAGTAGGGACATATTTCTAACTTTTCCAAACTCAGGAAAATCAAAGTTAATCTTGAGACGAAATCCAGATGTAAGTTTATAGGAATGCATGCTTAGGGCACCCAAATGATCTTAACTCCATCATATTAGGGGTATTGCACAATAATGACATGATTTAAGATCAAGGCATTTCAGTGGTTTTCCTTCTACACTAGATGAAATTGATTGCCAACTACAGATGGATTTTGACTAAAGACAGACAATTCCTCTTCCCACCCTTTACCTACAGAGTTAAGGTTGTTAAAGTGCCCTATCCATGCATCTGCATCTCTTAGCCCTATGAATTATTTAAATGCAAGTCAAACTTCGATTTTCCTGAGTTTGGGATAATTTATTCGAAATTACTGATATATTTACTTTCAGCCATACTTCAATTAACTAAATATCCAAAACCTGAGTGAAAAACTGACTTGGCTAAGTGTTCCAGTTCAGCCTCACTTGCCGTTTAAGCTATGAAAAAGTCATTTTTTTCCTTAGTTTCTCTCTGACATTAATATCACCATTCCTTGATGTAATATTATGCAGTCATTATCAACTCATAAATCTTCCAGTTAAACAAAACCAACTTTTGGCAAATCTTCAGCTTTAGTGCTACAAACGTTTGCGCTACTTAAATAAGAGAATATTTATCAATTTACAGACTGTCTTACGCTGTGCATGGGAATGATGAAAATACCCATGATGTCACAGTATTTAGTAAGGTTTTTGTTTGGAGAAGGGGCAGTATGTTCCACTTTTCAGAGCTTTTTTCATGACAGTTTGATTTAGTGATCATTTCAATACTCCCACACGTTAGATAAAAAGGGAGTGTATATGAATTTGTTGTTTTCTTCTCAGCTGATGCTGTCACAAGCTATCCTTACTTGTTCTAGTTTAAAACCCTTTTTAGGAAGTAAAATGTTTCAAAACATGTTTGCATAATGTGGCTGCGGGGGTGGTTATTTTGTTTTTCGAGAGTTTTTCTATACTTATCTATATAGCTATGTAGTTCTACAGGTGTATATAGTTCCACTTATTACGATACGTAAGCATGGTCATATAAAAAGCCAGAAGTCAAAACATACTTGTTTAAATCAATATTAGGCATCGAAAGATGTGAGCTGATTTTTATGGAAGTACTAGGGGCACAGTTGTTTTTTCCTGTTTGCTTTGAATGAAGATGCTGACTATTCTTTCCTTTTTTGGTAGATCACTTCTTTAGGAGTCTAAAGATGGGCTCCTGTTTTGGAAAAATTGACCAAAGACTTGTTTAGAAGCTAAAAGCTACCTTGCATTCCTCCTTTCACTGAACTTGATAGGAAGGACTCTGAAACATGGGATAGAATTAATAAACTGCTCCCTCAGTGATCTGTACAGTAATCTTTGGTAATCTGTGGCATAGTACCATTTTAATGTGGGAAAGGCTGACCTTTATTGTCTACAGACTTACAAAGAATGAATGTGACAGGTCCTCAAAGTGTTTTTTTTATTATTTGAAGGTGAATGCTGGTGACTTTCATGTGACACAGGCTTAGTTTGTTTTCATTATGATATGGCTTCAACTGCATTAGAAAAGCTGCATTTGAGAGGAAATTCAGATTATTAATATCAGCTGTCAGTTCTAGTACATTTATCTTCAAGAGGGAAGGAGAATCCCATATGCTTACAGAATCTGTGAACTGTGTATCAAAACATTTGTTTAAACAAGTGATCCTTAACCAGAGTTCTGTGAGATCCCTTTCAGGGTGCTGCACAATACTAATAATATTGGCTATGTAGCTATCTATACATGATTCACAAGATAAACCCAGAGATTTCAAATGAGAATCCATAGTGTCAAAAATATTTTAATCTGTTATAGTCTTTCTGAGTTCTTTGTAATAGAAGAATTATTTCTTCCATATTTAAGAAATGAGTGCTATGAAGGGTACCTTGAGTCCAATGAGGTTGAGAATTGCCAATTTTTAAACAATATCTTGTCTCTGTAGCTGGTACAGCATTCTGTGGTGTTGCTGCCCTCCCCCATAATATTATAGCACAGTTATTAATAAAAATACCTAGTTCTTACATAGCACTTATCACCTGTCATTATTGTATTTTGATGCATGCTGAAATTCTTCTAAAAACTTTATTACCTATTCTGCTTGGTAATTGCATTTGCAATGTGGTGAGGTCAAAATTAGCCAATGAACTGAGATACCACCAAAACCCACAAAGTTGAAGTATTGAAAGAGCGCTACTGTTCAATCTTGTTTGCTTTAAAAAATACTATCTTAAATTGAGTCTAGCAGGCAAACTGGTTTCAACAAGGGGGATATATTGTGGAATTATCTGTAGCCCCTAGAGTGCATGGTTGCAGATGATATTCTGCCTCTTCATATAAGCAGCTAGCTATTGGGTATCAGTCTATTAGCTGTGGTACAGTTTGTGTAAAATGTCAGTCCATATCAATGTCAGTAAAGTGTTACCTGAACTGTGGCTCTTTCTGATTGTCCCATTACACTAATGCTCTTTCTGGGGAAATGAAGGGATGCCTCTACATGCACATTTCCTGGTTTCCAGTATTTTTGAAAGAGGAGGTTTGAAGCCTCAGCTTCTGGAAAGGTACAACTTCAATTCTACATTGTGTTTTTTGTAAGTGACTGCTACGCACTAGTTCATCTCAAGGAAGCAATTTATATATAGGGGTGGCTGAGGCCTACAAGACATATTTAACATAAACCAGCAAAAGCATTACATGGTGTCAAAACACAACTGCGGTATTTGCCTTTAACACTTATAAAGTAAAGAATAAGAATCCTTTGGAATGTATATTTTATATGAAATCCAATCTTCTATTTTTAACTCTTCCTGTTCTAGTCTTGTATGCATTATTTTGGTACCTATTACAGTTTGGCCTGTTCTAAAATAGAGCTGTGTTTTTGGTATATAAAAAAAATCCTGTTTTTGCTGTTGGGCAGATGCATCTAGAGCAGTGTAAACAACCTGCTATGTAAAAGTCCTGTGAAAAAGGAACATAATCAAAATGGCTGTTTTGAATGTCTTGAAAGACTGTGATTTAACTCTTTTATAAAATCTGCCTTCTTCCATAAGCACAGTTATGAAATAAAATGAGAGAGTACTCTGTGAGGGAAACGTGAACTTGTTGGAGATTTGGGGAATTTTTAAATAGCAGTGTTGGCTACAAATGTCCAACTCGGGATCCTTAAAATTCTAGTTTATTAGGGAGATTGAAACACTGTAATCATAAACCTTGGGGCTGGTCCCCACACACACACACATGTACACACATACACACACACAGTAGCAGGCTACAGAGTCGGGTATACCTATCCTACAAGTGCTGGAGTCTGTCGTTGAGGCTTCTTTCAGTGTGGTGTTATCTTCCAGAAGGGGGTCGCCAGCTGGTCCTTCTGGCTGGACAGGTCTGGTCGAGTTGGAGATCAAGAGGGCGCCGCTGAGGGTCACTTTTCACTGCCTTTTATCTGTCCCTGGCAGACTTTGGTGACTCCCCAGTTTTCAGGTTTGCCCAATCCAGGGGTCATTGACCCTCGTGGGACTTCCCCCCCTCGGTGGCTACTGGACGGTATTTGTCAGCCCCAAAGGTCATCCGCGTGTACATGCAGGTTTGGGAGTCCGTTGATGAATTTTTGAATAGGGCTCTGGGAGCGGTTGATCTGGAGATACTCAGCCCAAAAGTTGGTCCCCGGCGTTGATTAACTCAGGCCAGGGCTTCTAGCCCTTGATCAGTGATGTTTAGAGATTTCCTGGTTGTTACATTGTCTTCTATTGAGTTCTTCCGTTGGCTGATCTGCAGCTTCCAGGTGTTAATTGG